GAAGACTGCGACAAAACCATCTTGGCCTTCCTATTTAGGGTTAATATAATTCTGCGTAAAGAGATGTATTCACCCTATTTCGTCTAAGTTGATGAAGGACTGGTAGTGGAATTTTCCTACAATGATATTAGTTGAGCTAACGTTTCCATTTAATTTCGCACAGCCTTGCTTTCCCAAAAGTTGTTCTCATCCGGGGTGGACTGATAAGACCGATGCGAGGTCGAAACTGCAGTCCACTCCGGCCTGGATGATAACAAATTTTGGGAAAACAATGCTGTGTGAAATTGAATGGAAACGTCAGCTCAACTCATATCATTGTGGGAAAATTCTACTACCAGTCCTTCATCGCTTAGACGAAATTAGGGTGAATACATTTTATATTACTTAAATAATACCATCAATAAATAACGTCTAAAAAGTTTTTTTAAGAATCCAAAGCAGGATTAATATAATTTTAACAACTAATGTAATATTTACAGTTATATTCGGAGCCTACTTATTAGTAATATGAGTAACGCAGTTTATTATAATATAAAAGCCACACCATCTTGGTCTTCATATCTACGATCTCATATATTTGATCTACTGGTTGTCTCAAAAACCTGTATATGGACGGAAAAATAGCTTTATTCGTTGTTGAGTAGGATTTCTGTATCTTTTTGGCCGAGCGGACGGAAATGGGTCGTAAATATGGCCTTCGGAGGTGTGACTTTGGTCCATTGCCCTTCTACTCCAATGAATCCATGCTCAACTTGTCTCTATCCCACCTGACAGACATGTGTGGATCCAACACTGATTGCTCGGAATCGATGTTGGAAAAAGGCCGGACAACAATGGCGCAGGACTTTGTGTGTGTCGCCCTAAAGACGCGTCACACTTGCTAACATGTGATTCACTCACCTCTCCACGGGCAAGGCAGACTGACAACAAGCCAAAGGTTGCACCAACTTGATTTTAATAACGAAAGTTGGCAGCACTATTGGAATAGACTTATTATGCCAAGTACTGCCTACTTCTCAATAGGCCTACTTGTAGTGTTCGGATTTACTGACGTCCTGCCTGATGTTGGTACCATTTTTGGCTGTGACGATCTTCATTGGGCGTCCATGACAATCCCCTAATGATTTGGAGGGCCTGCTTTCTAAAGGCTGTTTATGCAGCATTTTCGAGATCTTGTACTTGCTCCGTTGTTGATTCATCTCTCAAGCTCGACGTATCAATAGCCCAGTCACACCTGTTTTTTGGATATGCTAAATTCATATAAACAGTCCAATCATATATGTATATATATATGTGCGTGTGCGTGTGTGTGTGTGCGCTAGTCACACAAATTTTACGATCCTGATGAGGAGGACACTGGGTCTGATATGCAATTTTGTGTCTTACTTTCAGTCTCGACTGGAACCACTTTGTGCATACATCTTCGGGCCTGCCACCCTCTGCCACAGACATGCACAGGGGGCAGGTATCCGCGATCAGAAGTGATATACTTTCTACCAGCTTCTGCAAGTGTGAGTGTCTTTCACCCAGTTCCAGTAATATCCGTTTCTGTCTGGACCATGCTGATGGGTTGAGGGACCGGTTAGCTGAGGTGACCTCGGCCTGACGGTCAAAACTGGTAGGGCTAGGTTGACTTGAATCTTCTGATAAATAAACATATGGAAAGGCCATTTATGCTGACTGCCCAACTGGGGCATCATACGACGGCCAGAGTGTTCAGACAAAGCGAGAAGACGGTTGTGCGAAGCCTCCCTGTCGCCCAGATCAACTAGGCGTCAGGACGATCGAAGAGTGATCAGCCCCACTGTTGTATGGAGCACTTTCGGCCGGGGAGCTGAGTGTTCATGTGAATAGCACCAGTCTGGTGTGGTTTATCGTGTACTTTTGCTCAGCCACTCCTTCGTCACAACGGACAGCAATGCACAGTTTGTATAGGTGTTCAACTGGTACCGCAAAGCATAGTGTCGGCAGACGTTGGGTGGATGCGTCCCGCCAGGCGATAGTTGACTCTGTGCTGTTATGGCACCATATGCACCGATGTGGGTGTATAAGTGTGTAAAATCGTGTGTGTTCGCGTGTACGTGTGTCCGATTGTGCATAGAAGGTGTGATATTTTCAACCGAATCCCACCGATTTGTCGGCCTACTGGACCAGGAGGACAGGTTCAGCCGGATCCACTATCGTCCATTGTAAACCCATCTTCATCAAAGACGCACTCTTTCAAGGCGTGTTACTCTGACCTTCAGACCCGGTTAGAATGTCTTCAAGGGCGTTTAAGGCACCGGTTTTGAGTCTACCTCCTACCCCTATCACATGCGGGTGAAGCCATAAACAAAATTCCGTCTTCTCTACAAATGGTTGCTGAGTCAACGCGATCCATCGGTGGGGGGACTGCCGGGTCTTGCTTATTATGCTGCTTTCATCCAGAATGTGTTGCCAAATCGTATCAGGAGGTTCAGGGATTTGTTATTCGTTGAGTACTTTTCGGGCAGCTGACGACTACTCTTCATTTCTGGGTTGGCTGATAAACCTTGGGCTTGTGAGAATCTACTGCAAAACGAGGCTAATAAAATCTATTTTGCATAATATTGTTATATTAATAATTGTTATTATCATATGAAATCTATAATATATATATAATATAATATAATATAATGTTATATTATATTATATTATATTATATTATATTATATTATTTTATATTATATTATATTATATTATATTATATTATATTATATTATATTATATT